GATTGATTCAGTGACTGGGATAATCGGGATGGGAGTGTCAAAGACAGTGCTATTGGCACAGGACAGAGCAGAGTTTAGGTCTTTTTTACATAGGGTCACTATGAGTCGCAAGCGACTCGACGGCACATAACAACAACAACAACAGGACCATACAAAGGTAGTTCTGGTAGCCTAATGGCAAAGATTTGTTCTGCCTGTCCAAAGGCATGTCATTTAAATCCACTAGTTCTCTGTGGAATAAAGATTGATAATCTCCTTTTGTGCAGTTTACAGCCTCTGAAAACCCACTGGAGGGTCAGCTGCACGTTGCTTCCTACTTGATGGTCCATAACAACAAGGATGACAGTACTTGTTTCTTTTGTAACTGACTCTTTTACTCAGTGTAATGTTTCCTTTATTCATCCATGTCACAGCATATGCCAGGATTTCATTTCTTGTTATTGTTGGGTAATATATGTATATAGCATCCTTTGCTTGTTTAGTGGACAAAGAGAGATCCTAAACCAAGTTCGAACTCTTAAATTGCAAAGCTCATTTCTGAAAATCTTAGGGCGTTTTCCCAAATGTAAATGCAGCATTTATACATTGTTTTAAAGATGAGCCATATAGAAAAGATTTAGCATGAGAGTAGGAATGTGGAAACCCTCTGTGATTTTGCTGTGGCAGTCTCTTTGTTGGCTGCAGAATAGCCATTCTCCCGCCCATCCCTTGCCAGCAGACCCAGATTTGTCCAGTTATCTTAGTGCTTCATGCACCAGAAGATCCTATTCCACTCATTACCTTTTACTGTGGCAGCAAATAACTCCAAAGGCACAGTGAATTAGGAAAACAAATATTTACTTCCTTTGCAAGTTACTTGAGGGCAAGTGATTGAATGCAGCTTTTCTGGGCTCAGCTCAGTTTTTAAGTGTCATCTTGCTTTGTGAGCAAAGCTGAAGAAGCAGCTTGTCTCATGACAGAAGACAAAAGCCTTAGGCAAGAAATTGGTGTGGGTGTGGAGCCAAGTAGAAGGAGGTGACAGAGCCAAATCGTACAAGGACATTTAAAGCTTCTGCTTACATCCAGTATGTGCCAGACTGTCATGCTCTTGACCAAAGCAATCCACACTTCTAAACCCATGGCCGTAGGCTGGAAGAGTACTTTCAACCTGTGGAGAAAGCATTACAAAATAATATGGAATTGGGTGTAGGAATATAACCCCAGTTCCCAGTCTAACATGATAATGATCCCATTCCCTTGGAATACAAAGTGCTGAGATTCGGGCCAAATGAGATTGGAGGGGAAGTTTCCTGGGGTTTCTGAGAAAGATAATGATATATGAATGGGTCAGACATTGTGCACTTGGAATGTATAAAGTTGTGTCCTGCTTCTTTGAGAAGTATTACGTATGTCATGTTGTATATATATCAACAGGGTAGATGCACTTTACTGCCCTACTTAAATGCTACCAATGTGCTCTTAACTGCTGAGGTCAGTTTGGCAGGCTTGCTTGTGCTTACTTGAACGGAAGAATCTTATACCAACCTCAGAGGAGATTAAATCATAGTCTGTGGTGGTGTTATGTGCTATTGAGTCAACTGCACCTCATCACAATCTGTAAACAGCAGATCTGAACCCCACCCTGTCCTGTGCCATCCTCACCATCTCAGACACACTTGAGCCCATTGTTACAGACACCATGTTAATCCATCTTGTGGGGTTTCCTCTCTTATTCTGATCCTCTACCTTTCCAAGCATGATGTCCTTTTCAAAGGACTGGACCCTTCTAACTGCATGCCCAAAATATGTGAAACAGAGTTGCCTCCAAGGAGCACCCTGGTTTTATTGTATCTGTTGCACTTTCACAGATCTGTTTATTATCTTGGAAGTCCATGGTTTGTTCAGTACTCTTCTCCAACACCATAACTCAAAGGCATCAATTCTTCTATCATTTTTAGCGATTTTCCAACTTTCATATGTGTAGCAAACAATTAAGAATGTCATGGCCTGGATAAAGCACACCATAGTCTTTTGAAGCTCCGTCTCACATAGTTTGGGCAAGTGTTCAGGAGGGACCAATGCATGAAGAAGAACATCCTGCTTGGAAGGGTAGAGGGACAGAATAGGAGTGGAAGACACAGAATGAAATAGAGTGACTCAGTGACTAGAGAAGTGAGATTAGATCTGTCGGAGACAATGAGATTGCCTCAAGATAGGGAAGGATTCAGAGCTGTTATATATAAGGCCACTGTGAGCCACTGGCAGCTCAATGTCACATAACAACAACAGTTTTTAAACTGACCTAATGACACTTCAGTACTTTAGAGAGGGTCCCAATAGCAGATTTTTCCCACTGCTAAACATCTCTTGATTTCATGGATTCGAATACACTTATTTCCCTAACCACTAATGTTTACATGTAAAAACTTATCACAGTGACACAGTTCTTTGTATAATCGTGTTTGTGCTTTTTCTTACTGTTTGTAGTTTATATTCACTGGTGGGTGTGTTTTTTCTTGTTAGGTTTCCCCTGTATTATGAACTTAAGATTGCTTTTGTCATATGGCTGCTCTCTCCCTATACCAAAGGAGCAAGTTTAATATATAGAAAATTTCTCCATCCACTTCTTTCTTCAAAGGAAAGGGTAAGATCTAGAAATTGTTTCCAAAAATAGTTTGCTAATTAAAAATATACAGTGCTGCATGCTTTATGCTATGTAATTAATGAAACTATGATCTTATGGAGGAAAGTCCTGGGGTTTTTATTAATCTGCTTGCTTACTTACTTCTTAATACTCTTTTTAAATGAAATTAATGTCAGTGACTTTCTTCCACACTCTGCCCTACAGGAGATTGATGATTACATTGTTCAAGCAAAGGAGCGAGGCTATGAGACTATGGTAAACTTTGGACGTCAAGGTTTAAACTTAGCAGCTACTGCTGCTGTCACCGCAGCCGTGAAGGTAATTTTTCATCTACTTTTTCTCTTAATCCAGTGTCCTATTAAGTCAACAGATAAAGAGAGGTGACTTTTTAAATTTCAGGTTATTGAGAGAATTTTGCTTTGTATTTATTTTTGTAATGCAGTGCAAGTAGATCATTTGGAAGACATTTTAACATTGTGCTTTCTCTAACTACTCGGTATTTTGCAATTATCTTTTAATTGATCACAAAATGAGAGCTAGCTAATAAATAAACCATACCTCAGAGTATCATTCTGTCATACTTTTCCTGCTGTATAACCTTAGTAATTTTAATACATTACCTTTAGTGAAAAGATGGTCATTCATTCTTTCTGTCTTTGGTGTTCTCTTTCTATATCTCTCTCGATGGCACTATCTTGGTAGGATTTCTGGCTTACTTCAGCACCTCTGCTTCAATCAATTTGAGGTAACTGATTAATCAAAATAAGGCATGAAAGAATTCTGTTCTTAAAACCTGAGATTTTCCTTAGCCAATTACTAATGTCACTTGTTGTATTTTCATAGCCAAGTTATCAAATGAATGCCTTCCATAAAATTTTGCATTATGGCTTTTGATTTCTTTTGCATGTAGTGATGAATGTGGTTTATTTTAAATAGATTTTGGGGTGTAGTATATGGGAAGAAGACAGATATTGAATCTAGAAAGTGCAGAGAGAATGTGACGTTTTAAATAGCGTTAGGCCATTATTTAACCTCTGTGTGCCTCCGTTACTCAGTGTGGGGGATAATATACCTAACTGTGATGGCGTAGTTAAAGCACAGTGCTTGCTTGCTTACAGTAGAAGCCTAATTCAAGGGAAAATTTCAGTTTGTTACTCTTGAGCTATGTTGACACTAATAATGTTCTAGCTTTCAAGTTAGGCTCTTTTAACTTGGTTATCTTGAAACTAAAACAATAGCATAGAAATAATGATTCTAGTTAAATGGTGCTTTTACATAACAGCGATAGTAAAGAAATGTGAATGAATAGCAATTCTTTAGAGTGTTTGGCTCAGTTAAAGCAATTAGTATGTTCCCAAAGGTGAGAATGTCAAAATATATGCCTAGCAGTTGTTCATTGACGATTAAATGGGAAGTCATTAGCTCACCATATAAAACATATATATTATTAATGGTGGTTAATTAGCAGCATTTTATTGTGGTATAGTTTGGCTATTCTTTGATTTTTATAACCTTTTTCTTGTATGGGAATGGCTTTATGAACACTTACTAAAATGGTAAATTTTCAGCTTTTTCAAAGTCTTTTCCATTTTAGAAGCAAATTATTTACTTATTGTTTCTTGCTTAATGAAAATAGAGAATAGATAAAATAGCAAAGAAATGAATTTACTTTATTTCCAGATCAGTCCCACCATAAAAGGGCCCTGCAAAGTCCCTCAAAAAATTAATACTATGGAGTGGAAAGGATTGACTAAGCATAGTTACTGGAATAGTCCAAACAACAGAAAAATAAGGGAGAATTCTTTAACCTTTCAGAGAGGAAAAAATGTCACATTCAAAAGAGAAAAATTGAGAGTGCTGTTAAAATTCTAAATAGTGACAATGTAATCCCTTGAACTTGTGTGAAAATGATTTTCACTCTGACGCTCTGTAACTCACCAAGCCCTATATCAGGTAGTGTCTTAGAATATCTACTTCTTAATTAAGGACCAACAAAGTCACAAAATGCACCACCCTTTGTTAAGCTAGAGATGACTGTGCCAAAATTAAGGATTAATCCAACCCATGCTGTGAGGGAAACGTGGTGGTGGAAAGGTGGGAGTATTCCCAGATGAGCTCAGGGCAGCCGTTCCTGAGTATGTCAGCCACAATTAGATGAAGTGGATAAAGGTATCAGGAGAGATTTGTCTGGGAAAAATAGAAAACTAAAGCATCTGGTGGGGTAGTCCATAGGCAGTTGCACTTTTAATCCAAAGATTGTACGTCTCTGGTATAGCCACTCTGTGGAAGATAAGCAATACCCTCCTGGGCAGTTTTACAGCCCCAGGAACCCAGTAAAGGGTAACTAGGAGTTGGTCTGACTCATAGCAACAATAACTTAATAAAAAGAGTATCTAACAGTTTAATAATGTGTGCAAACAATTTAAACCAATCAGTTCCCATACAATTAAAAGATCCATTGACTGTAAGTGGCTGGTCCTGATGCAGCTACACATCACCCTGAGCTCCATGAAAGATGCGTTCAAGACAGTATAGAAAAGGGAAAGAGATGACTGAAAAATTTAAGAAGCGAAAAAATAATTTTGGCTCTATTAAGTAGGGAGCAGCTTTTACATTCTTCATACTCAGAACATCACAGAACACTGACTATGAACTCAGCAGCAACTATGATTTTGCTCGTTTGGGAAGACAAAGGGAGATGGAAGAGAGCACAAAACCTAATTTCCCAACATGGGAAAAGAGAAGGTTCAACATGGTTGCATTTTCAAGGGTAGGGAGAAAAGAAGACGAAGAGCCTTTGCATTTTTATGTCAAGATTTTAGCATTATTTGTGTTTATAGTTTGAGAACTTTTGTTACATCCCACAGAAGGTGACTTCTGAAGTTTTTTTCCCATTTAAAAGCATCATTCAACATGATTCTATGAAGAAAAACTAAAGATTACATTTCCATTTGAAAAAAATGTTTAGAAAATTAATACATTTTTAGAACAATTCTTTAGGAAACATAATATCCAAATTGTCATTTTAACATTTTTTAAAAATTTATTATTAATTTCAATGAAAATTTACAGGCTTTGGATTTCCATTCATTCATTGTTGCACTTTTCTCCCCTTCCAACCCTCCCCTCAGGTCCACTCCATATGCAGCCTTCACTATGGACTCCTGTCATGACAAAAATATCTAATCTCATATTCCTTTTAAACAGTTTTCTCCCTCATCTGTTTCAATGCAGTATACATTATTGAACCCATCTTTCTCAGTCTCCTCCCAGCCCCGAGGTCATACCTGTTTTACAACAGTGGCACCATGCAGTATTTGTCCTTTTGTGACTGAGATATTTCACTTAGCATAATGTCTTTCAGGGTCACCCATTTTGAATAATACTGCATGAGTTTCTTGTTTTTCAATTCAGCGTAGTATTCCATTGTGTGAATATCCCACAGCTTCTCTATCCATTTGTTTGTTGAAGGGCACTTAGGTTGCTTCCAACTCCTTGCTATTGTAAAAAAAGCCATGATAAACATGGGTGTGCATATATCTGCTTGGATGTCAGTTATGGTCTCTTTAGGGTATATTCCCAGTAGTGGAATTTCTGGGTCAAA